GACAGCAGACCTATGCTTTTTAGGCCACTCTATCTTGTGTCTAGTATCTACCACTTTTAGTCCCTTCTGACTGTTGGACCCAGCTGTCTTTACAAGCATCATTGTATTCCGCTAATCTTTGATGAATAGGCCGACACATCTCGCCGACTCAATGTCGAGCACAGGAACACACAATTTTGTAACAGCCGGATCTTGATGATGGGTCATATTTTTCTCTAAAGAAGGCATAATTAAAGAAAGTGTCGGTGTATCTTTTAAAATTATTTTTATGCCCCACTTTAGCACTCGTTTGTCTATCCTCATAGAAAAAGGGTATGCCGAGAAAGCTTCAGCTTATCCGTACTTGACTAAATAGTCGTATTTCCTAGTAAACAGATTTTATTATCAATTAAGCCTAAAGATATTAGTGCTTCAGCCATTCAGATTCTTTCATCAAAGACTTAAATCAGCTAGTCTCATACTTCTAATAATAATTGATTTCAAAATTGCTATTTTAGTTTTACGACCATGGTTAGAAAGAAAATTCTGAAAAGAACCAACAAATGTTGGTTTTCTTAACCATCTTATCTTAATTTGTCCTCTTCCCTAATGACTATAACATCAAAATAGGTAAAGATTTATTATTTTCTAATTCCATTGCGAACGTCATGTTTGCTTCACGCCGGTTAAGTGAAACTATGAACTAGTTATCGATGATACGAATGCCAAGATGTCATGGTCTTTTGTTATGTCGCAGTCTCCTTTAGCTGTATACTGTTGGTTCTTCGTATTCACAACTTGGTCAGAAGATACAGATAAAACTTGTGGAACTTACCTAGTCCTGAGTCCTCAGCCCTCGAGTATTCATGCTGATTTCCAGCATCGGAATGTCGATTTGGTACATTCTCAGACGTTTTGCCGGCATCGTCTGTGCCATCTTTAGCACAGAGTTACAATTTTTTCAGTTACTCCTCGCCCCTATGTTTTTGCCCTACCTTCTAGCGCTGCACTTCTTTCAACCCCACTTCATATCGCCAATTTACCCATTCAATCTATTTATGCTTGCATAAAAGGCTTACTGATAAAAAGGGTATTAATTTACCTCCTAAGGGAAGGTCACGTTTTTATTCTTAATACACTATCTTCACATAATTTCGCACAGAATGTTTATTATCCGGACCAAACAAATGTCCGATATTACGCAATCGTAATGATGTGTTTCTTTGTGTCAAATAGTCCGTTGGACCTTGTTTACCTAAGACCTCTGCTTTGCTCTGCACGGATTGCTCGTCACTTACATTGGGAATTGGTACCCCACACTCGTAGACACACGCATGTACTTACATTTAGTGACTTGTAAATATTAACTAAATATATCTTTTTTAGTCACTCAAACTAGAATTTTATCAGTATATCTAGCAGTTATAGACGGACTGGCCAGCTTTCCTGATTCTGGGCAAGTTTAATGTTGCTCCAGCTCTGATGACGTGTGTCATATGCTCAGCACTCTTTCATCACAACCTGTGGAGCATGTGCCGAGGGTTGCCTTAGCGCCAACAGCACAATATACGCAAGCATTAATAGACCATGAGGACTGTGTCGTCGTCTTCTGACGAAATTTATCTGCGAATGTCTTCATCAATTACTTTCATACAAAACGAAAATCAACTTGAGCTATCTGGATAGTAGATCTGAGGGTCAAGGTGGCCTGACTTTAGGTTTGGTCTCAATCTCCCTATTCTGTATATACTTGGTTCGACCTTGCTTTGCTATTTATTCGTTTTTTTTGAAAGACCATTACTTCGCCCTCTGCCTTTGTCGTAATTCGCTTCTCCAGCGCCGGACTATTGCATGGGCACATTCCTGGAAGTTTCGCCTCAGCCTAGGCGCGTCATCAGTGAGAGGCGCCATTTTTGTTGAATATTGAAACAAATGAGGATAGAGATGCGTATATTGGAGACGTACACATCAAGTAAGCTTTGGGAGAAGAGATGGTGCAGCACTATGAACTAGGTAGGGGGAGGAGAGATGCCGCAATGGTTGAATACAAGATGACTGCCTTGACTTGCCAGTTTGACGAGGTGCTGAGAATGGCGCTTCTAACTAACATAATTGCGGAAAGAATTCAACTTGTTGAGCTTACTTCCATTTTGAGTAAAAGTGTTTGGTGAAGTATTCGCAGGTCGGTTCCACCAGAAGACGAAGGCGGATTCGTCTTGACCGGCTGTTGATTGGCTTTACTGGAAGCTTCCTGCTGACGCTGTTTCCGAGGCAATCTCCTTCGATTCCGGTGTAACGATGCCAAGCTTTCGTCCGTCATATGAAGAACATCATTAGAGCAAGGTATCATCGTCACACCAAAATTCAAGCTAACGAGTAAAGAAAACTCACCGGCAAATCCCTAAAAAGTGGTATATATACTCTACATCTGGCCTCTGATCAAGTATAACGTGATTTGGTTGATTAAGGTCATATGTCACCTTCGATGCATGTGAGTCTGTCTGTCTCTGTATGCGTATGTGCATGTGCCTATTTGTGTTCGCTTATGCCCGAAACCCGCAGTGATGGCTCAAAGTAATTAGGACAGCAAAAAGAAGCTCAGCAATTATGAAATAAGAGATTCCTCGAAACCCAACTTTTCTTTGCAAGAATTTAACTTCTAGTCCTTCATCACCTTAAACAAAATATGTTGAATAGATCTCATGTATATGATCTACTCTTAGGTTATCTAGCTTTGCATAGTCGGAAAGTAGTCTTTTAGTAGGCTCGGTTTGCACTTCCACAACGTGGCCCCCTACGTTTGAAAGATTGCTACATTTTCCCCTATACATCTTTAAGAGACCTTTAGCTTACGTGCTATTTTTATTTAAAATCTTCTGTCTGATCTTGTCCTGAGAGCCTTTTTTTATATGCACACATGAAGGTATTTTCACTCAGTTTAATGCTGACTTATTAGATGCTAAACTCCAAGAGATTATTTCTGTCTGACTCTATTTATGAAATTCAGAGCATTCTTTGCCTCGCACTTAAACTTCTGCTGGATATAGAGATATTCTCTATTTCTGCCTAGCCTATCTATGCTTTCTTCTGAAGGCAACTAAACCAGCTGCTAGATCTCCTTGTTGCTTAACCTCCTGTAATGCATCGTCGAAATAGGTAATTAAGATGACTGTTCCTTGCGACAATTTTTATGGATTTCATTTCGGAAACTGGATTTCCAACTTTTTATGGGGCTTTGTGGATGTAAGCGTTAAGATTTGCTTGTAGCCTGTGTCAATCTCGATTAAAGGGGGTCTAGTATTATGCCCGGCTATGCAGCTTACATGAATGCTTGATAGAGATGTAATCGATTTCTACTCCCTTTTTGGTCTACGAGTGCATCTAAAGTTTGAAGGGTTCTCTGAAATTCATCAACTTTTGGGTACCAGCTGAATCATTTTAGAAAACTTCTTTCTCCCCTCCTATGCCATGCTTTCCATGGTGTACAATCGGCACCAAGTCCTTTAATAAAGTATCTACTTATGATAATTTCCTTTTATCTAGGCACTGTTATTAATTTTAATTTATCGTACTTATTTCTAAGACCATTGCCAGGAGAGGCGTGAACAGCAATCAGACATTTTTATTTCTTTACACACTCATTCGGATTTGTATCAGTCATGAATCGCATATCGCAATTTCCCGTCAAAAACTCTTGTAGTTTCTTTATTCTTTAGTTCTTTTATTTATTCTCTTTGGCCCCCACAGTGATTTTCATAAAAAATCTTATAGATTTACATCCATACTCATGTGGGTGTGTGTGTGTGTGAATTTGAATATATAACTTAGTAATAATATCCTGCAGTAAATTAAAAACCGTTTGTACATTGGTATAACTTTTAATTTCTTGCAATTTTTTCATGAATCCTTCATTTATACTTTTTAAAACACTTATTTTAGGGCACATATATGGCCAGCAGGGTAGTGAATAGTAGAATTGGTAGGCCAGGAGCATCGAAACCTCTTCAGAATTCCTTACCGCCAAGTTTGTGTATATTTTATTTCGTTTATTTCTTTCATTTATTATTGTTATTTATTATTATTGGCCTAATTTTTACTTTGCTTCTAGACGTCGATGAATCACTAATGAACGATGACCTGCAACAGATAGATATCGGCACACAAGTTTTTGCAGGCGTAGGTTGCAAAAGACTCGGTTCGGTCAGTTTTATCGGACCCACACAATTTGCCGAGGGGGAATGGATAGGTAAATTATTTAATATCCATGTACTCTGTAAAAAGTTACTCTGTGCCTGTTTAAATGTATTTTACGATATCTACCATAAATGACCGAATATTTCTGTATATACTTCTCTACACAGGCGTTACTTTAGATGTCCCTAGTGGCAAAAATGACGGTTCAGTCAATGGCGTACGTTATTTTCAATGCGAGCCCTTTTATGGACTATTTTCCCGCCGAAATAACTTGAGGATTCCCACTCCAGATGAGCTTGCTCAGTTCCATGCTGTCAAACAGGTCAGTGTGCACTCTTTGTTGCTCTATATCGGTACCAAATTGTTTTACTATATTGAGGTTTTAATCCTGACGATATTATATTGCAAATGGTCACGATTAATTAATGAACATTTTAGTTATATAGCTGAATTCAAGTAGATACTGCTGTGTTCGAATGTATTTATTTATTCACCGTCCGTTGGTCAGTTTTATCAGTTGGTCCTACACATTTTTAACTTTGAGTAGTTTTCGAAAGTACGTAGTGCCATCGAGTGTAATGGCAAATACATGTTTATTTTTCGAATTAAGTATTGTTTTCGTGACTTCCAGTAAATCAGTAATATGAGAAGTATTCACCAATTTACTCTCACAGCTCTAGGCAATCCTCGATCAGCCTTTTCAAACGAAATAGAATTTACGCCAGTATTATATTTTAAAGCCGTTCCATCTAGTGTACTGTATTTACCATGTGTTCATCCACCTGGTTCTGAGCATTTGTGGGCCTTTTTGTGTTCTGATGACTTCTTATTCACAGTTAGATGAGCCCACTCGTATGGAAACTACTGCATAAGCACAAAACGTCATAACAACCTAATCTTCCGAGGAGTCCGAAGATTCTATAAACCAAGGCATGAATGGCTAAGAAAAAGGTTAGCCTCCTTTTATGTATATTTTTATGTCTTTGTTCCTCACTGATTCGCCTCTTCAAAAGACTACCAGGACAGTAGCATAAAAAGTTGTTCATTTTCCCATACTGTCCCAAATTGTTGTTTTCTCTCTAGTACCGTGAAATTATTTACGACTAATCCTAACGGATAATTATTCTGAACTAAATTTTTTATTCAAAGGTATGAAGACCAAGATGGTGTGGCCTTTTTTATTATCCTTTTTAACTAATAATAATGATGATTTACATATTCTAGATGCAAACTTATTAACTTCATTGAATTCCTAGTCCTTAAATTAAGTCCATTAGTGTGATTAATGAGGAAATTAAGAAGGGAACAGGTCATTTGGCTGATACTTAATGGCTGCAAGGCTGCCTCTATTGACAAAGGCTTTGTAGTTAAAATGTGACCGCATTCTTTATTTTACTCCTTTTTTCACACAGTTATTTAGTAAGTGATATTAGTGTTATATTCTCTGTTTTTGAATGATTTTCACAATATCCTTATAATGACGGGCTTAATTATATTTTTTTACTCTTATTATCGTTCTTTAAAAAAAATATAAATGGCAACCTTCCTTACTCTGAAGGGTATTTCTGCAAATTAAGTACAACTTTATTTGTTTTGAGCTATTAATTACATGTAATTAATTTAATTTTAAATTTTCCACTGCAATAATATATTTTTTTGATTGAATTTCCGGATAATTTGCTTAACAATACCTTTTACGCTCTCTTATGTGTCTGATTTTGTATATTAACTTTTTACATCTTCAGACTAACACATCTGGCCTAGACATGGATTCTTGTGCTATGTTTAACTCAGTGGCTTCTACCGCCTCAACTGC